GGGAGTGGGGCGGGGAGTTGAAATGGGCAGTGACCGGGAAGTTAGGTTGGCCATTACAGGCCAGGTGAAGATGCTCAGTGAAATGGTCACCTACATTTGGTCTCACCGATGTAGAGATGACCACATCAGGAGCACCGGATGCAATAGACTAGATTGGAGGAGATGCAGCTGAAGCTCTGTTTCATTTGGAAGGACTGGTTTAGGGCCCTGGATGGAGGTGAGGGAGGTGGTGTGTGGGCTGGTGTTGCATCTTTTACAGTTACAAGGGAAGGTAATTGGTGGTGGTGGGGGGGTGATTTGAAGCGATTGGTGGGGAGTGTGGCGTGAACTAAGGAGTAGTGAAGGGAATGGTCCTTGTGGAAGGCAGAGAGGGGTGGGGAGTGAAAGATGTTCAGGGTGGTTGGGTCTAATTGGAGTTGGCGAAGTGTTTGAGGATGATACGTTGGATGTGGAGGCTGGTGGGTTGGAAAGTGAGGACAAGGGGGACCCTTATCTTTATTATGTTTGGAGGTTAATATGTTTTCTCTATGTTTGGTATTTCCACTGCTCCAGCAGCGTATCAATGCAGAAAGCATGAGATAGTCAGTGACCTTCCTGGAGTGAAAGCTGTTGTTGATGATCTGCAAGTCTATGGATGTGGAGACACAATAGAAGAAACCATCACAGACCATGATCAGAATTTAGAGAGAGTGACTGCTAGACAGAGTTCACTAAATGAACAATAAAAAATGTAGCAGAAGATGCTGACTGAAGTCAAGTTCGTCGATCATGTCTGTTATAAAGACCACTTTTTACTTCCTTTGTTTAGTCCATAGTCCAAAAATAAGGGTAGATACTGCTTTTAGCCAAGAAGACTGTGCAAACAGCTTTTAAAATTATGTTTAATGGCGCACACTGTGAGTTGAATACGATATTGCTTTCCTCTGGAGCAGTGACAGCTAAAGCAGACACCATGAAGACAATGGGTTCTGAACTAAGGGAAACCTACTGGACAACAATGGCTCCTGAGCTGGTGACCATGGCATGTATGGGGGCAGTGCAGAAAGGACCACTGAGCTTGCAAAGAAAAAGCATTAAACAATTTCTCTCTCTCTCTTTTTCTCTAGTGTGGAGGTACCAGTTATTTTCTTCCTAAACACAGCAACCCGATGAGTGTTTTCTTTTAAACTAAAATCATCAGTTGGGTCAACTGAGGACTTTGGATAGTTTGATTAAATCTTTTCTCATTTGTAACAATTCTGGAAATAGATCTTGATTTCCAGCACACTACCCAATGAGTCCTGACACTATCATTAACTGCTGCATTCTCCATGGCAACTTCTACGAATCAGTCCACTTGTGAACCAATCAGCAATCTCCTCTCATACACTATAAATGTTGGTGTTTCCCTTGTGAATTGTCTGAATGAGTGCATGATGAATAGCTTTGACAAACTGTGTCTTTGGTCAGTAATTCAAACAGCTAATGATGACAATACCAGTGCTGAGGCACTACAGCATCAATGATAAAGTCACTTTGTAGTCATGTGCTAGCAAGATAGGACTTCAGTCAGCTCTTATACAGCAAGGACAACCTGTTGTATTTGTATCCAGGACAGGTTAATGCAAACTGAACTGCATTATGCTCAAATTGTGGAAGAGTGCCTGGCTATTGTCCTTGTTGTACTCATTTTAACCAGTATCAGTGTGGGGAAGACAAAGTGACTGCGGAGTCTGACCACAAACAACACTTTAAAGCACTTTTGTCAAATTCCCTCTGCCTGCTCCAATCATCTGCAAAAAATGTTAATTTGTGTGCAGGGATATCACCTGGACATGGCATACAAACAAGGGAAACAGATGTACATGCCAACATGCTATCAAGAGTAAAACTCCCAATGAAAGTTGTGAATGCCAGGACCATGTAAACTTTTTCAGATTCAATGAGAGGCAACAACTTGACCGGCTCAGGAAATCATCAAGGCAGCAGAGATATTGAATCTGAAAGACAAGAATCTTGTTTAAATCAAGCAAACTACACAAGATACAACTCTCCAACTGCTGCAGGAGATTGTGATGAAAGCTGGCCTGACAGCATTAAGGATTTGTCTGATGATCTAAGAGAGTATTAGGGAGACGGAGATGAAGTGATAACCCAAGATGAGTCATTGTTCCTGAGGGGATGCCAAAACAGAGGGCGGTAATGGTATCCCAAACAGACCATGGATAAAGCTTAAAATAGACAAAGAACATAGAAAATGGACTTCTCTCATGCAAGAACAGTTTATCTTGTCATTGTCATACTATTCTGACCATTGGGACGCAGACCAGTTGACTTCAACAACTACCAGTGAGATTAACAGATGCCTGAGAGCACATTTCAGTTGTTACAGTATTCCAGACGTTGTGATTGGCAATATTGGTTCTCAATTCAGGAGTGAAAGATTTAGCTCTTTCGTAAACGATTGGAAACTTCAACATCTCTATGATAACCCTACTCAAACAGAGCAGCTGAGGTGAAATTTACCAAAGGGATCAAAAGGAAATTGAACAGATCCAGCACAAACCTGGATGCACACAGAAGCAGGATGGGTTGGCATGGTGGCTGTGTTGGGAGGTGGCAAGAGAGTGGGAATGGGTGGTTGTGGGGAAGAGGGGTAGCTGAGGCTAAAGGAACATTGAATTCTCCAGGATATCCTGGCATACCAAGTTTTTGAAAAAACTAGCAAAGTTGTAAATGTTTTGGGCAAAAACAGAAATTGCTGGAGAAACTTAACAAGTCTGGCAGCATCTGTGAAGGGAAAGCAAAGTTAATGTTTCGAGTCCTGTGCTTCAAGAAGTTAGTCATGACTCACATCAACTCCAACCTACCAAATTGCCTTGATCCTTTGCAATTTGCCTACTGGCATAACAGGCCCACAGCAGATGCCATTTTCCTGGCTGTATACTCATTCTTGGAACATCTGGATAACAAGGATACCTATGTCAGGTTCCTACCTATTGACTACAGCTCTGCCTTCAATACCACAATTCCAAACAAACTCATCTCCAAACTCTGAGACCTAGGTCTTTTCTCCCCGCTCTGTAACTGGATTCTCGACTTCCTGACCGATAGACCACAATCATTAAGAATAAGCAACAACATCTCCTCCACCATAATCCTCAACACCGGTGCCCTCCAAGGCTATGTACTCAGCCCCCTCCTATACTCCTTATACACTCACCACTGTGTAGCCAAATTCTACCCCAACTCCATTTACAAGTTTGGTGGCAACATCACTGTTGTAGGTTGGATCTCAAACAACAAAACAGAATACAGGAAAGAGATTCAGTGCTTAGTGCCATGGTGTAAATTCAACAATCTCTCCATCAACGTCAGCAAAACGATGGAGCTGGTCATTAATTTCAGGAAGCAGAGGGGGCACACCCCTGTTTGCATTAATGGTGCTGAGGTGGAGAAACCCAACAGCATCAAGTTTCTGAGTGATGATCACCAACAACCTGTCCTGGTCCACCCACATCGATGCGATGGTCAAGAAAGCACAACAACGTCTCCACTTCCTCAGGAGGCTAAGGAAATTTGGCATGTCCATAAGGACTCTTACCAATTTTTATAGATGCACCATAGAAAGCATCCTATCTGGATGCATCACAGCGTAATTTGGCAACTCTCTTCCCAAGACCACAAGAAACTACTAGTTATGAATATTGTCCATCATGCAAATCAGGCTTCCTTTCATTGACTCTATACTTCCGGCTGCCTCAGGAAAGCAACCAACATAATCAAAGCCCCCTCCCACCCTGGTTAAACTCTCTTCCACCCTCTTCCATAGGGCAGAAGATATAAAATTTGAATACATGTTTGAGTAGATGCAAGAACAGCTTCTTCTCTGCTAGTTATCAGGCTTTTGAACGGACCTCTCAAATGTTAATTCTGATCGCTGTGTCTGCACTTTCTCTGTGGCTGTAACACTGCATCCTGCACTCCGTTCTGCTACCTGGATGCACTTTGTCTGGTATAATCTGCCTGTACAGCACGCAAAACAACACTTTTCACTGTATCTCAGTACATGTGACAACAGTACATCAATGAATAAATCAATCCTTCTTCTGATCTGGGTGGTTGGTTCCCCTGGCCATGTTGCTGTTACCAGGGAGATAAATTCCTTCCTGGTGCCAACTTTAAAATCACAGTGATTCCTGGTGAGAACCACATCAAGATTATCACCTGGAATGGACAGGGATTGCTTAATCCTGAGAACTTTCCCTCCCCTGTTTTCCGTTGTTAGGCTCTGTGTGTTGATGTATGGGGCAACTCAGGCATACGAAATAAGTGCAGGAGTAGGCCATTCAGCCCCTCAAGTACAATTATAGTTGTATTCACAGAGTCATACTAGACAACACTATCTCATCCTGAATTGTCGTAAACATCCAGGGTTCTCTGAACTTATTGCTCCTACATATCCCTCTAAAGGGTACATGTTGGACCTGTACACTCCCCAGTTCATTCTTGAATGCCCCCTCATTGCTCCAATATAGACCTACCAGCAAGGAGCTGTTCCCAGTCTATGTGGCCAGATCCTGATTTATTTTAATAAAATCTGCTTTCCCCCAGTCCAAAACTGATGCAGGCCATCGTTTTCCTTGTCCAGAACAAATTTGAACTGTACCATGTTATGGTCACTATTACCGAAATATTCCCCCCACTACAACATCAAACACTTGTCTGGCTTCTTTCCCCAGAACCAGATCCAGCACTGCACCATCCTTTGTTGGGCCTTATGTGTGTTGATACAAAAAAAAACCCTTGGATACATTTCAAGAAATCCACCCCCTGTAAACCCTTCACACTAAGACTATCCCAATTTATGCTGGGAAAGTTGAAATCCCTTAGTATAATTACCCGATTATTACTCTTACACCTCTATGAACTGTGTACATATTTGCTCCTCTATTTCCCACTGACTCTTTGGGTCCTATAATGCACTCCCAGTAAAATAACTGCACCCTTAACATTCCTAGGTTCTATGCTGCTAGAGTGAAGTCTTAGACAGCGAGGCTTCCTCTTAATGGTTGAAAGGGGCAGATTGTTTCCTTCTTTTGGACCGGAGAGAGACAGCAGGTGAGATTAATAATAACAGTGTTGCTGAATTGTCTTTGTCACAGGCCTGTTTATGGGATGTTGCCTGTATTGGTACAGTTGATCAGTGTTAACAGTGGTTAAATAATACATTATTTACCATAGAGTAAAGTTACACCAATTCTTCCTTTTGTTGTATTTTAACTGTGTTATAATAAAAAAGTGTGTTTTGATTTAAGCTTAGCGTGGACCAATCAAATCATATCTGGAACATGGCGTCTTACACTTGCTTTTTAAAAAAAATATAAAATTTATGGTTTAGGTTATCTGCATAATATACTTTAGGAGGTGTAGAGCTGGATGAACACAGCAGGCCAAGCAGCATCAGAGGAGCAGGAAGGCTGACGTTTCGGGCCTAGACCCTTCTTCAGAAATGAAGAT